GGGGCCGGGATGTCGGTGGAGAGGGCTGCATAGCGGTTTGCCAGACTCAGGACATGGGCCACGGCGCAGGATGGCTCCTCGGAATCCGCGGGCTCGTTATTCGTAAGCGGGCGCTTAGGTGTAGAACAGGAGGGTCCGGAGCTGACGGATCTCTCCCACACGACAGTGTCACAATATGCAGAGCTCAGTGACATCAGCCGTGAATGCTGCCCACCAGCGACTTCAAAAAGTTTGGATACTAGAGATTGTTTCTCATTCAACTCTGCGGTGAGACGAAGGACTTCTTTTCGTAGATCTGCAATGGTGGCACGGTCGCTCTCACGGAGCTCCAAGGTGAGGCGACTAATATTGTGCATGTTTGAGCCAATTTCATTGTCACTTTCCATGTCCTCGTTAGCTTGTGTTAGCCTCTGTGCTACTAGTGGGTTTCAGTCGGGACTAAGTGCTATTTGCTGAAACCACTGAATTAAAAAGATAAAACACTCAGATATATTAAAAAACTGAACAATAAAAACGCGCTAAAAAGTTGTTAAAAGTTTACTAAAAAGGTGCACAGAGCAGCCCTGCAGTACTGCTTACTTTGTTATAAGTAATCAAAAGATTAAAAAGAGTTAATAGTGGCTAAATTTTGTAATAAATTACAAAAAAATAATGCGTCATACTATTTCAACGCATTTTAACGGTTTTCAACCCGCGTAACGCTTGTCGGAGTTTCGACAGACTGATTATGCTCCGGACAACAACAAACCACAGTCAACATGATGGAATACGATGGCCGCATGTGCTAGCCCTGTGCATGGGAAATGTTACATGTATAACAAAAAATGATGGAAGTTTCGATAAGAGCATGGTTGTGTTCGCATATCAACGCAGCACAATTCAGAATCAGCTCAATACTAAAGATAGAGCAGCTAGTGTGGACGTTAGCATGAGCACATAGACCCACACCTAAGAGTACAGAAGTACCCTTTGCAGAAACCCAAGCCACACTCGACTGTAGACCACTCTGAGTGGTAGAAGATAAGCTATTAACACTGAAAGGTACGTAGGAGGATTTTCTTTTTCAAGTGGATCATCAAGACTATTAGTCCTTCTAATTATCAATCATTCTGTGATATGTGACGTCAAACAAGAAAAGTATTTTAGGGAGATTCTTTCACCTGTGCGCTGAAAGCCCAGGTTGGGCTTCCCACTGATGCTTCATTTACATCGTTTCTACTAGACAGATATTTGGCATTCTATATGAAGATTTCAATTTCAAATGATTTTCAGTAAAATTTATCCACGTCTATGTCTGTCCATTTTTCAATATATTTACAGTATAGATGATTCAGTTATTTGAATTCCTTCAAAACCAGTTCAAAAGTCTACTATATGACATAATTATATAATACATTTGGGCCAATAAAAATCAATAATCATATAAATTAACTTGCAGTTGTGTAACAATAGCAAGAAAAAGATTACTCAGCGCATAAATCAATCCATATACAATAGACTTAGAGAAGGTACATGGAAAAAGAAAACGATTTCAAGGTACAATTATGGACTTTTGTCTCACTAAAACATGACTGGATCAATTTCCTCTTGGATATACAATTATATGAGATTTAGATCTGATTTGAGGTTCTAACACTTTTTCACAAACGCTCTACCTCGCAGCTGTTATTTGTAAAGCTGTCCAACTCTATATAAAAATGAATACTTCACAGAAACGGAAACAGTTGGAGAGCACACACCTCTAAGGCATTGGCCCTATCTCACATATGGCTTAGAATTCACTAAACTAATAACCGTGCTGAATGTATATTTGTTTAATTCTTTTTTTCTAATGTGATACACAATCACTCTGCTAGCACGCATTTTAAATCACAGAACGAGCAGAGTATGGCAATAGGACGCTAATAAGAAACCAGGTCGAAGGGAATCAAAGCTATTTCAATGCAATGTTGCTGTCTCATTGTGTAAATTAGCGATGAAAAATGCTATAATAACGTCTGCAAAACATACACGTAAAAATATCTGTACACTGAAAAGACATTAGGATTCATTTTATATAGCAGCCAAGCCTTTACAGTCTTCTCTCATCAAACAAAACAGATCTATCTCTGCGTAAGCCTCTCACTGACAGACAAGTGCTGCTCTCCGTCTATCTCCCGACATTCAAAGTAGTTTGCGGTGAAGGCCTTGGACAGCTCGTCAATAGCACGGAGTGTCAGTTCATATGTCATGTTAGGGCCTCTGGGCATGTGCTCTATGAACAAACAAGATGGAAACAACAGCAGGACAGATGCAACATGGGAACAGTGGACGAACGCTCATACAAAAATAATAACCTAAGAACCGCAGTGGACGTGTGAGTGCCTTGGTTGTCCAACTTACTGTAACGTCCCTTGTTGAAATTTGTAGATGGTACATATGGATTAGAAGTGTAATTTCTAAAATGTATTGTCGTATTTTAACAACATTGGTCATGCCGCGACCCTATGGACCAATTTCTGTTGTCTTATTGTTTGATTATCTAATGTGTGGTTGCTGACTCGACAATTAGGGTTATGCAAAAATAGTAATTTTTATGTATAAATCACCTCTAGCACGCCAGAGTCACAAAGCGCTTTACAATTGTTGTGGGCATTTGTCCTTGAGGCAAATGCCCACAACAAATCTATTGGGCATGTTTTTAGTGGTAAGGTAAACTGGAGCACTCGGAGGAAACCTATGCAGATACAGGGAGAACAAACTCCACACTGAAAGGCCCAGAGGTGGAGTCGAACACAGGACCCAGAAGTGAATAACGTACCATTTTTTATTTCTGTTTTTTGGTTCTGAACCTGGGTGTATGTATGTCTTTGTTTTTGAAAAAAAAAAAATACTACATTAATTGGAAATTGTAAAATAATAAACATTTCCCTTTGAGGAGACAAAAAATATCAAGACGTATAGTTTTCTACACCATACATTTTCATTGTTAGCCAACATTCCATCCAGCTCAATTGAATGCTTGACTTGTATGTTATAAAGTTTAGTCTGGTATTCCTTTCCAAATGATCTTTCTTTTCCAAAACACATACGTAAATCACAGTCTAATTATTGTTTTCTAATTATGTAATGTCTATAACTTGCTGGTTCCTGTAAAACATGGACGGGGTTTTGTTGTTGTTCCATGAGATTAAGATTAAGCGATCCTTTATTCGTCCCACAGTGGGAAATGTCAGTGTTGCATCACCAGTTACAAAACAGTAGGAATGACAATCACACAGCACAAGATAAATGAACTCATGTCAAATAACTGTACACTAGGGCTGTCAAACGATTACGATTTTTAATCAAGTTAATTACAGCTTAAAAATGTATTAATCGTAATTAATCACATTTCTAACTATTTTTTATATTTTTCTGTAAATGGTTGTTTGAATGGAAAGATAAATTACAACATAGTGTACATATGTACTGTATTAGTTTTTCATAACAACAATAAATCCACATAAAATGGCATTAACATAGACTCAGACCAAAACTATTGTTTGTCACAGATGAGGGACATTTCAAAAAAGTCTGAAAAGCAGCATGTCACAAAAATCTGTTTGATTTGCTCACAACATTTTACTTTTGGGCACAACCAACATGACCGGGTAATGCAAGGGAAAAATTAGATACCCCAGCTTTAAAGATTATGCCTGTTTTTTTTTTTTTTTAATTGTGGATATCAAAATTGCATGACAATGTCGATCTGAAATAGATTCCGGCAAAAAAAAATCCTATATTTTATAAAAAGAACGTGTTTTACATGAATTTAAGTTGTCTATGCTCTAACCTGTGTGTGACGTCACAGCGGGTAACGCCCATGCATTGAAAACCATGGATCTATGCCACAGGACTGCCTTTTCTCTCTTCTCTCCACTGATGCCCAACACAATACTGCCCTCTACAGGTGACAATTGCTCACTACACATAAATTGCCGTTTTGAGAGTGAAAATGTGTCTGAGGTGGGATTTGAACCCCAGTGTCTGGATCAGCAGTCCATCAACACAACCACTGGACTAACTCAGTGCCAACAAAGTATTGCAATCTAGTATTTACGTCAGACTCGCTGTACACGGCCTTGTCATCTTGAATATCCGCGAAAAAAGAACAAATACCAAATTGTAAACAACTTACAGCGTTGAAACGTACCCACTCTGACGTCACCAAGGGCTGTGAAGTTTTTTCGTCTCTAAGGGCGTTGCTATGGGGTTATTTCAATTTGGGGGGATCAGACAAAAAAAATAACAACTGATTATGAAACCTTTAGTAGTTCTCTTCTAATATAAAATGGTATTAAAACTGTATTTCTAAATAAATCAAACCCGGCATAAGGTCTTTAATTTAGCGAGTGCGCTTCGGGAGGAGACTGAGCCTCCGTAGTTCAGCTTCAGAGGTGTATTTATTGCATGCACAGGTTACGCACAGTACAAGCAGAGAATAGTCCTGTGCACGTGACGTTGCAGCGTTACAGATTGGCCGCAGCTGCCCCGGGTCAGAACGTTGCGGCCGCGGAGGATGCAGACTCCCGTTCAGTAAATGCAGCAAACAACAGCAAGTGCCCTGCGGTCACGCGCATATTCTTTTTAAACTTGAATTCCCAGAGACCTGCTCTGTCGCCATCTCACACTCGCATGTGTCCGCAGCATTCTGAGTGTTATTATGGGATGCATGAGCATTCGTGCATTAACGCAATAATTTTGACAGCCCTACTTTGCTAAATAAAATACACTTAAAATCTCAAACACTAGCATGAAGAAGAAACAAGTACAAAATCTCTATGTTTAGCATAATGAGGAAAACAAACTCTGACTTTAGCATAATAAAGAAGCATATATGAAATAAGTAAGTAAGTAAGCATTATTATTATTTATATACCGCCTTTCACAGACCAGAGTCACAAAGCGGTTTACAATTGTTATTTTTTTTTTAAATAATTAGATTGATGAAATGTAGAATTCTGAATGTGTGTTCTTACCCAATGGAAAGCTGATCTGATCACACATTCCCAGCAGTTGTCCAAAGTACACCTTGTTCTCCCTGGGCATGAGACCCAGCTCATTCATCCTGAAGGAGACACAAAACAAATCTGGTTAAATCGAAATAAAGACACTGATCAATACTAAGCAGGTTTCCAACAGGGTAGGCTCCGTACCGCCTCAAGGTGTGTTTGACTGTGTCCTCATTATGTGAAGCCACCATCACATTGGCGACTCCATTCCGAGCGATTTCCTCCAAAACAAAGTCCAAGCAACTGGAACAAACACAAAACATGGATCTCACATTTATAAGGTCATGATTATAATTAGGATAATAGAAGCACGCTGTAAGCACTTATGTTCGCAGGGGCAAAGTAGCACAGTTACTTTACAACAAACCATCCAAAGAAAGATTCTGTATGTGTTATAATTTCAAGCTGTGACTACATTTCTTTTATTAAATGTATGAAGCGCAAACCAGATTCTTCCTATGTGTGGATGTGTTTCAGTGTTCTGTGAAATGAAGGCTGCAACTATGACTCAATAATGTATTTATCTCTGAATAATTGTTTTGTGAACCATTTGACATATTTGAACATGTCAAAAAATATGCCAGGTCTGTCTCTTGCAGTGATTTATTTGTTGCGTCCACAGGCTGCGCAAATAAATGTATATGCAGAAAGCTGTCCAGGGAACGGTCCTGTTCTGTGCTTCTCCCTGCCTTTATCTCCTCTCTCTCTATCTTTATCCGAGCGGGGTTCCCTTCACTATTTGAGAAGGACTTTTCTAGCAACACATATAAACAATGAATATGTACTTTGAAATGACAATATTGCATATGGTCCCTTTGTCTGCTCTTTAAAGCACAGCCTTGCATTCTGCCCAAACTATAACCATCACAGATCAGGACCATGGATCTATTATATTAACTGGATAGGGTATTGCTAGCTTGTAGCTGAATAACTCATGTGCTCGGGGGATTCTCGCGGTACTGCAGACTGAACCAGACTAAATTCACGTGGGCTACCCAGAAATTTTCCCCATAGGACTCAATGCATATTAAAACAGCTCAACCTCAGCTGACAGAGAACCTACAGCTATAATAAAGGTCGGATTTTGTGGGGATTTTAGTGTCCCTTGTCATCCTGAACTTTTTTTCTTCTTTAATCCTTCGGTTTTGTTTAAATCCACACTTTAGCGCCACAAACTCTTCTCGTCTGGCTCTCGCTCTAACTCCCGCTCTGATGAACTGCTCTGATTTGTTAGAGCGCGGCCGAGCCCCTCTGTGCACGTGTGTGAGACCCGGTGTGAGACCCACACACGCGTGTTTGGCGCAACGCATTATGGGAGATCATCCACTGCGCAGAACCGGGAGGACCAGACGATGCCCAAATACAGGCGAGTTTCCCATAGATCTTTGGAAGTTCCAGGCGACTTCCGCTAATCTTTCAGCCCCCATGCGGTCACAAAGCGCCACTGAGCACAACCATTCATTTGAATAGGGCGCCATCTTGGATCGTCGGGGCTTGATCAGGACACATGGCTTAGAGCAGCGCCACTTGTATTCATGAATTGACAGTTGCTTTATAATAATCCCAACTTTACATTGTAGAGTCTTTCACATGACACATGATACACAGAGCCTTATTCTTTCATAGCAGGGAGGAGATGCTATTTACCTCAAAAGCACCAATAGCCCCTACTTTATCCCCTGCATAACCTACAATCTAGCTCGCTGCAGGATATCTCTGTGTGCTGATTTAAATAAGGCCTGCACAGAGCCCACTCAAATTACACCGCTTGTACTTGCACAATGACACAGAGCACACTTGTAAATGCTGTCCTTTTATACAGCAAAGGTCAGTCTCACTTAATCCCAATCCCCTTTTCATTGGAATGTTTCGGATGTGCAGGTTTGAGCCTCATTATGCAGAACATACGGTGCTTTCATGACCAAAGTGCTGCTATCAAAGTCCGTGTTCTCTTGCCTGTGGTACATTCGGTTGGTGGATTCGTAGTCGGGGTTAATAGGGTCCTCGTATCCCAGCTCCTCGGCTCTCTCTCGCTCCTGATACATATAGGCCCCACGCACCAGCTTGGCGGCAAAACACCAGCCCTCCCGCCGGGACAGATCCATATCCACCGCCACGCTTTGGAAGGCATCCTGCAAAGTGAATATGGAAAGTTATACATTTAGATGCAGGAGGGTCTAAAGATTTAATGATCAAGGACATCCATGGACATCTTAAGACATTTACAGAAATCGGTTATATTGATTAACTCTATTGACTATTGGCTCTTATTCTTGCACCACCTGTGTTCTAATTGGTCTAGTAACATAATTCTTGTTACTTCCTTTTGCGTGATCACTACAAGAAAAACAAGGATTGAGTCGCAACGTCCATTTTTGTGGTTTATTATTCCATAAAAAAGTTGCTCAAAGGCAGGATTTCGGTGTCCAGCTGGGAATGGACGAGAAAGGTCGATTATGAGTGAAATTATCTCTGGTAAGTAAGTAAATTATCTTTATGTATGAAGCACATTTCACAGACCGAACTCATCCAAAGTGCTTTACAATGTTTTGGGGTACAGATGATGCATCGTAATGTTTTATGAAGGCACAAGGAGAACATACAAACTCCACACGGAAAGGCCTGGAGGTGGAATCAACCCAGGAAATTCTAGCAACCAACCACTGCGCCACCATGCTGCCCATAAAAGTGAACCATTTCTTTTTTTTAAAAAGCACAGCAGCGATGTAATTTGGGAATTGAGCCATATATTTCAAAGTGCTGGTGGAAAAATTAAAGCCGATTTGAGAGCAACAAGATTACGTTTGACTCTCCAGCGTATAGCCATATAATTTAACTCAATAACATGCATGGTTTGCTCCTCCCATCTTTTTGCACAAACCTTTTTATACATATTCATTCAGTTTCATGGGCATTTTGCAAACACGGTATTTCTACCTACACGTGCAATGCCGTGCGCAATAAATCAGTTTGCTACAACGTTAAGGGCCGCTACTTATTTTGCGTGCGTGCAAGCCTTTGATGAATTCAGCATACCCCTAAGTGTTTTCATGGCATGTGCGTAGCGTAGCATCTGACCTTGAGGTAGCATTGGTAAGTGTTGAAGATGACAGGCTTCTCTTTGTTGTAGATCTTTTGCATTTCCAGAGTAAATCGGCGGATGGCGGGCTGTAAGTAGGTCTGCTCCGCGTCCACCATCAAACGCACCCCATTCTCCACCGCACACTGCCAAAACAGATCAGCTCAAAAAGCACCGTCTCACTTATAATGTATTGATTGTTATTTTGTTTTGGGTCATCACATCAACAAAGCGCTGGTGTGTGTACTATCTGGTGCACACTGGGGTAGTCTTGCACAGTTTTTTCCAATGTGGTTTTACTGCATATGGTGAATACATTCTTGAATCTAAAATCAAAGTTACAGTTTAAACATACAATAATATATTATGATGAATTGCAACCAAAAAAGGAAATCGGCAGGAGCAATGCTTATTTGGGCCGGTTAACCAGATTTTAAATGTTATATGTATGGTATGCCGTATTTAACAAACATACAATAACAAAGTCACTTTTAATAATTGGTAAATATTTGAAAGTTAAGATAGAATTGTAATGAAGAAGTATTTTTGTTCTTACTGTATGTACAGCAAGAGTCCTGAAACTAGTAATAATATGGTGTATGTGTCATTGTGCTAATTATATAACGACCGGTAGCAGAGTTTTTCATTCCAGCAGTTCTATTTTCTGAGAAACATCTTTTTTGGCAGATATGTGGACAGCATATGTGGCTAATGAAGACAGATTGGAAGATGCTTCACTGAAAATGCCACATGTTAACATTCAAACTGTTAAAAGCAACAAATGCTTATTCCTGAAACTTATTACTGAACAATTTATCCCATAGATCAGGGGTCGGGAACCCAAAATGTTCAAAGAGCCATAATTGACAAAAAAACTAAAAACAACATCTGTCTGGAGCCGCAAAAAAATAACAGCCTTGTATAAGGCTTTTATGAAGTTAACACAGGCTGCAAGATGTATTAGCTATATTAGCCTAATATCTAAATGACAAAGTAAAGGCTACAAATACATAATAATCATTCATTATTTTCACTGCAGCGTGTCGCACCACGCGTGTCGTTAATGACGCAACACGGGACAACTCTGCTTTAGTTTAACTTCCATTTTTTTGCCTTCATGCAATTGTAGAAATACAGTAAATAAATCTGCTTTGGGCTCAGAGGTCACATACCTGCATCACTGTCTGCTCATATCCATCACGTCACAGGCTGAAGTTTGCTGGAGCTGAATTAAAATCCTTAATGGCCTTTTCTTTCACCGTCTTTGAGAAGGTTTTGAAGTCTGAAAATAGGTGCTCTGAATTTTTGATGAATGAATCCTTCACGTAATCACCGTGTACGGTGTTTTGCGCGTCATTGTTCCTCGTGTTGCAACAAAACTTTTCATTACAAACATGAAGCAGTCCTTCCTCATTGACTGAAAGAAAATGTTCATTCTCATTCTTAGTCCAGTCTTGTTATCGACTCTTTCTCGTTTTAGCTTTGGGATCCATGTGCACTTACAGTCTATGATGCACACACGCCGGTTTGTTTACAACAGCGGCCGCATGGGGCGGGGCCGCGTGACCGCGCGTCATAGGATATGACGCAGTACGTTGACAGAAATGTTGAAATTAGATATTACTTATACATATTTTTACAGCATTTAAAAACGTAAAGATTGTTTTTCCTTCTACAGAAACCACATTCAAACTAGAAATAAAATATAGCCCTCACACTCCATTTTCAGACATTTTTGAAAAGGCTCCAGGAGCCACTCCAGGAGCACTCAAGAGCCGCATGCGGCTCCGGAGCCGCGGGTTGCCGACCCCTGCCATAGATCAATAACTTATTGGTTCAATATACAATGGTCTGAAATGATTATTAGACGTAACAGGTTTATGGACTTCCTTTGTAAAACTCCAATACACATCTGAATTAGAATCAAGAATGTATTTTCCATTATGCAGCACAACCACATTGGACAAACTATGCAAGACTACTCCAGTGTGCACCAGACAGCACACACCAGAGGTCTCTTGCCACAATTAAACTATCAAACTACAATTTGGGTACACTGCAAAATATAATAAAATATGATGTAATAATTGTTTGAATCTAGTGTTTTTAATCTTAATTTCTTCTTTCAAGGCATTATCTTATCATTATCTCCTTTTAAGGCAGTCAGAATGATTCATTTTGGCAGATTGGAGCAAATGTTGCCTTTTTGTCATCATTTTTGCAGTGTAATGACAGTGAAGCAAACCTGGCAGGCCAAGAGAACACAATATACAGTATATCTTACATAAAACATAGTCTTTTTAAAACAAAAGTAGACAAGCTTGTATCTAATGTATCTTCAAATGTCTAAATTAGAAAACATACCTTGGCTAATACGTCCATACGTTGTAAAATCCGTTGCATCTGCTTTTCATCTTCGTCAGTGAAATTCTTCAGTAAAGGCTCCAGCTTCCCTAACTGAAAAATAAGTCAGTATTCATGGATTAGAGTATTTATTTTCTTCCACACTTAATGTCACATGCTTGTATAAATATTGACTGGTTAGACTAGAACAAATACAAATTATTCTTCTTAACCTCAAACCAACATATTCTTTGTATTTTTTCTATAAAAACTGAAAGAATGGCACAGAATGGAAAAATAATAATAATAATTGTAATGCCTCAAGACATAAAGACAGAAAGAGAGGGCTGCTATACTTTAAAGTACTTTTAATTGTAACACAGAAAGCATTCACAAGGAACTGGCTCTGACCGCACATGACAGACACTGGTGGAGCTTATTAAAGACATTTTCTTTCTCTCTCTGACGCCAGAGACATATTTTGAAAAATGCAGGACAAAATAGACGTAGTATAAACAAAAAAATCTTAATCCTATGTATATGATGAAAGCTGTACTTGAACAATGACAATTGTGTGTGGGTGTTCTGCTCATACAATTCTACAAATAAAAATGTATTTGAAAAAGAAAATAAGCACAAAAGAAATCTATTCTGGAACCAGTTGAAGGAAAAGCTCATTTGATTTTTGAGTTTGGAGTTTATTCCAGATTTGACTGGAAAATAACAGGGACACAAGTTTATTTTTTCATATTCTTTCAGGTGTTTGATAGTTACTGTATCTACTTATATACCTGTAACTAACAACACTCCTAAAATGATGGAATTAGGAAATTCAATCGTTTGTCACAATAACTTTGCACTTACCTCCACGTTTGGCACAACAAGCAGGTCTTCACTACTTTTTCTGTCGCCTAAAAGGCAGTTCCAGTCCAATACATCGATGGTTCTGTCAAGACAAAGACGTGATGTTGCATTTGTTTTGCAGCTTCTGTAAACTACGATGGATATGGAGTAAAGCCGGTATAGTCTCACCCAGAGGATCCTTTGTTATTTTCAGTAAACCAGCCGTGATAGTCCCCAGTGGCGCCCAGCTCGGTCAGAGTTTCCTACAGATGTAACGTTTTCTGCTGTCAGTAAAATATTGTTGTACTTGCAGTTTGCATTAAAAGTTCATATGTAAAGTTAAAAATAATAAACTATGAAGAAGCAGTAGAACTGACTTCTTACTAATCACTGAGTGCATTTAAATGGCCAGAATAACCATATACTGATTCAATCTGGAGAGACTCAAACAGACATAACATGGGTATTATTAGAATTGTATGTTGTTTGGTAAGTAATCTGACACTACATGAATTACACATAATTCTGAGGGCAATATTTGAAAGAGTACATTTATTATGCTGTACAGAATGTGGTTAGGATTTGGCGCTTAGACCCCGGTGTTCTGCCGAGTTGTGCAGCTCGCCGAGTTGTGCCGCCTCAGCTGTTAATGATGTAATGCAAACCTGCGCATGCGCGTCTCACGGCAGCCGAAGCAAACCAAGATGGCGGACATGAAGTCTGTGAATTGCTTTAAAAGTTAAAATGCGAACGAATTAAGACACAAATGTCACTGCTCCTGTGAAACTACACTGCTACTGTAATCCAAATCTGATTTGCGCATGAGCAGAAACCCTACAGAATGGGGAAAAACTTGATCTAATTAAATATTTTGTTTGAACACACATTTTTTTATCATATTGAATACATTCAATATGATTACATTTAAATAATACATTAAATGTAATGTATTATTTCCATTATCAACCCGACAGACCAGTTGTAAGCTGTCAAGTTGCCACAGGACGCGTCATGGGCCCACGTCAGTAAAATGACGTATGCAGCAGTCAACTCAGGGACTGCTATCACACAGCAGCAGTGTAGTTTCACAGGAGCAGTGGACTGCTTATACTAAACTTTCCACATTTGTCTTAATTCGTTCATATTTTAACTTTTAAAGCAATTCGCAGACTTTATGTCCGCCATCTTGGTTGGCTTACTTACTTACTTACTTACTTACATCTTCGGCTGCCGTGAAACGCGCATGCGCAGGTTGCATTACATCCTGCGCATGCGAGCGAGCGGCACAACTCGGCAGAACACCGGCAGAGCACTGCACGATTGCAGAAGGGGAAAGAAATCATAAGATGAAATTCCCTGGGGCCTAGACCCTGGTGGTGGCAGCTTAGGAGAAGGATGAAAGAGCCAGGGAGGAGGAGGGTTGTGGCATGAATGAAGCTGCTGCTCGGATGGAGCTTCGTTGTGATATGAAGCTGATGAGGGCAGTGCCTGATTGCTGGAGTGAGGATTGGCGTGTGGCGCTGCAGCTGAGTGAGAGTGACTGATGCTGTTGCTGTGAGCAACAGTGGGAGGACTTTGAGCGCTATGAGCTTAGTTCTCGTGTATTCCAGTCTGAACCTCTGCTTTAGCTTCATATGTGTAGAAGTTGGAAGAGCCAAAACATTTTTCTTTGTGTTTATACACACCTACTTAAGTAAAACTCTCCCACTGCTTTATTAGAACAGGGGACTCAGAAACATTTATCCATTTGCTTAAATACATGATCATTGGTAACCATCCAAAATTATGTATTAGTTGATTTGATTAAACTTCATAATGTATGAGGATAAGCAATCTCATTCAAATACCTTCATGATGGTAACAGGAACTCAGAACAGCTTATGTTTTTTTCGGGTATATACATGTGTATTTACATACAAACTCCACTTATTACCTGCAGTTGTGTGAGCTCTATCCTCTGATCCAAGACTCCTCCACTGGCTTTCAAGGCCAGATAATTAAAGAAGTTATGCCACTTAACCAACACCTCAGAAAACTCCAGCTTCAGATAAAAACAAACATTGCGGTCAGTCCAGTCTATTACATACTGTCCTTACGAAAGCCTAAATTCGTACTGAGTGCATACCAGAAATTGAGGTCTTCCCAGTGCAGTCATTTTGATGGCAGAAAATCCATCCATGGATGTTCCACCTGAATGTTGGATACACTTAGCATTAAAAATTCAAGATATAAACTCAAAAAGCGTTGCAGAAGTAGTGGTAAACAGAGAAGTAGAGCTCTTGTGTCGGTCTGGACAGTCAGACGGGCTAAATAATTGAACAGACCATTGCCCTATTTCTACATTTACCTACCAGAAGCTTTAATGCACTTGATAAACGTCTCCATGTGGCGGTCACATTTGGACTCATCTGTGTGGAAATATGTTGGGGTTCCGGTTGCTTCGCCATTACGGTTTCTGAACTCATTGTGCACTTGATATTGTTTCTCTTCATGATCGTAGCCTGGGGGTTCACACAAATTTGCCCTGCCATTACTCCTAATTACATCATTCTACCTCAGAGAATATGAACAAAACAAGGTGGCTTACCGAGACTCGTGTCTGTGGAAGATACACACGAGCTGTTTGGAGAAAATAGAGACAAAACAATGTTAGTTTGTTTTGGTTGAATTATTGAACAGGTACGTTTCACATGATTTCAACAGACACGCTAATTGACAACAAACGCTATTATCATTTTAGTTTTTACAGAGTTATCAAGCATGAACTCAAGAGCTTTTATACATTTTTATTGTTTTCCCAGGTCATGGTGCATTCAAGGCAACATTTCTGCTATAATTCCATGTTCACAGAGCAATGGTGCATTTGGCAGGTTTGTTTGAGTGACAATGAATAGAATACTTTGCTAATCTGTTGTTTGCTTATCTTCTTGTGTTACAGCAACAGCACTGCAATAAAAATATGAGGTAATAAATGCTCTAAACAAGTGATTTGTATCTTAATTTGAGTGCAGTCTGTCCTAAAACCAATGGGACGAGCCATTTAGTCTTTTTCCTTTAAGCACTGTTGCAATCTTCTCTAATTCCTAGGGAGACATCTTTCTAAAACAAGATCATGTGTTTGGTCCCATTGGCTAATCTTGTTGTTAGGCACTGAAAACGTGCTCAATCCAATTTACATTTTGAGCCATTTTCACTTTTCGCAGTGAGTGTTTTTGTATTGGTGCCTGTTGTTGAGGCGGTCTAAAATTGCAGACGCTGGCCTTCCCTCCTTCTCTTCTTTACTATCAGTCTGTCAGTATCACTGTCAACATCAACCCCTCATTGTTGCGTACGTCTCCTTTTGCTGACTTATGTTGTTGCTATCTTGTCAGATCATCGGAGAGTCTGACTGCTCCCGCTGTCTTAGATCAAACCAGCTTAATGTGCCCCGTCCTCCTGCCTTATGGTTTGAAGGTGTTTGCCATACAAAAGCTTCACGAGGTTGCACTTTTGGATGGTGCTTTTGATGTTTTCCTACAGCAGGCCCCTGACAAGCTATATCAAAGCTCTGCTCAATATCTCGTTTCAACCCGACGCTATGGATATATAAAAAAAAAGCATACACAGAGAAAAACAATCAAAGCGTTTCAAAAAGTAAGGGCATCAAGTTGGTTTTATAGCTGAGATGGATGTCACAAGGCGATATAACAGTATTGTGCAGACAACATTATAAAGATACATAGGGGAAGCATATTCGGAAATGTTAAGACAAAGAGCTGTGTTTACTTTGTTTGACCTTTGTAAATCCAGGAAAAGTGTGGGATGTGGGAAGGTCTGGGTCGTGTGTACTTCCTTCAAATGTAGCTTCCTACTATGACAGTAACAAAATGGATCAATCGCAACTAATATTATTCTTTTTTTAATAGTTGTCACCTAGATAATATCCATCCATCCATCCATCCATTTTCTACCCTTTAATCCATTTCTGGGTCAGGGGGGTGGCAGTCAGAGATGCCACCCAAGTCTCATAGCACCAGCCCCTCACTGACCCTCTGCAGGTGGTGAGTCCACAGGAGGACGGCTGCTCTCTGAGTGTGAGCATAGCCTTGATCTTTCAGTGGGGGCTTTGGGCAAAGTGGGGTTAAGTGTCTTGCCCAAGGACACAACGACAGCAGTCATCAGTGGGAGTCGATGGAGAAGGTGCAGAGGTGGGAATTGAACCCACAACCTTCTGGCCTTAAGGGCAATGCTCTACCAACTGAGCTACTGTCGCCCTACCTAGATAATAGTAATAGATAAATCATTTTTTTAACAAGCCTGTATAAGTCACTATCCATTATCTTAAATGTATGGTCAAATGTATAAAACAATCCCATATTCCTGGACCTTCAGGGATCCAAACAACTAATCGATTAATCTTTAAAAAAATAATTGACCAATTATCAAAATAATTGCTATTTACAGTCCCACTTTTAAGGCAGTGGATTTTTTGAAAAATGTATTTATTTTATGTATTTACTTTTATTGAGATTTTAGAAAAAAAAATTGTAGGAAGTCCAGGCCCAGAGGAAAGGAGCCTATGGTGCATGTTTGTGGGGGACACCTGAGTATGCAACACGGGGAGAGCATGCAAACTCATTCTCTAGAGCTTGTTGACTTTTCTTTTTTTTTTTATTGCGGTAATGGCTACTATAACTGTCTTGATAAGCGGAAATGTATTATTCATGCTTAAATGGGTGATGTTTGTGTAATAAAGGTAACAGTTGCCCAGAGGCAGTGTTGCGTAAGCTCGGGCTCCCTCACTGGGTTCCAAACGAGAGTACAATTATTTCCAGTCCAGAGTTATCCCAGGCTCCACTGGACCTTTGATCAGCTCATTCTTCGAACAACTTTGGCCTCAAAGCCAGTCAGTCGGCATGTTTAAAAGTGAGATTCACTTTTAAACATACCATTCATAATTTTCTTTTCACAAGGGCTCGAGTCAACATGGCTCTGCTCAGTTTGAATTTACACTCTCAAAGTGAGTAGTATTGAGCTGCGAAAGCGGGCTACTATAAGAGCAGGGCGGGGACAGGCTGGGTCTGCTGAGAGCTATCGGAGGAAATTCATGTGGTCTTGTGCGAATGGTACAAAAAGATATTTTAAAATCTCACATGAAATGCATGTGTTAAAGTTTCACTTTCAGTTTGATTTTCAAAGTGAAAAAACTGAGAAACTGCAGCAAAGGCTACACACAAGTTTAGAAGAAGAGAGGATGGATACGACTGTAATGGACAAACATTACAGGGGTTTGACGCTTGGACTGTGAGGACCAGGCTTTATTGCTGCAGCTAGTCTGCAAAAGTCTCACATGCCGGATGGATGCCGTTTCTCCCAGTTCATTTTTCATAGACGTGTAGTTGTCTCTCCCCAGGAGGCCAGCTCTATTCAAACGTGAATGCAAATGTCCCTTTCTGAAACTTGCACAAGGGCTGCGCTTGCACCAGCCAGGAACATGAGAAAATAGCTTCATAGCTACAATAAGTATTGATTTGATATTGTTTTAGATGCATACAAATATTATCATTACACAGTGTTTCTCTATTGCTGCAGATTAATTAGCGCATTCACAGACAGAGGCACAATTCTGTGTTATTTAGCAGTAGAGATCAAATGCATCAACCAACTTGCTATGAAAAAAGCTGAAGTAAAAACTTCAAAATGAAAAGAAAATACATATGTAATGAAAAAAAAAATCCTTGCTCTCACATGCATTTCAGTGAAAATTTGCCCTTATTCCCAACCAGCTCTCGGTGTGTAAAATATCAAATGTTTTCTAATAAGATCTGGATTTTGTAGTCTGATTAGTTCACAAATTGTTACTTTCTCTTTGGACAAACAAGTTTAACTCTAGCATTCTATGCTGTTACTTTTGAATTGCATTGATCTTTGAGATGCTGTAAATAAAATGTTTGGAGAAGCGTACTGATTTTGCTCTGCTTCTACTGAGCTGATGTCTTCCTCAACGCTGTAGTCCAACACAGAGCCCACGCCATACGCCTGGTTCTTCTGGATGAGAGGTTTAATGGCCGCATGGTCCTCCCCAGCCACAAACTGCCCATAGAAGGTCATTTTCATCACCTGGTTAAAGGCTCTCTGTCCCAGGATCTTCTTGCCAAAATCAGTGAGCTGAAAACAAAACAAAATCCATTCAAGCAATGGAAGAGTCTGGACATGTTTGGAAGGCAGAACGTGACAAACTACTTCTTAAATCAAAACATCCTTATAAACAAAATGGCAAAATGGTGTTTAAGTCATTTGAAATGGGAAATAGTGTAGAAGAAAGTGTAGGTTCTGTAAAGCTACACATTCAGTCATGACAAATATACTGTAGGCCTTTAACAGTCTGTGTTGGCAGTTATTTATAAGTCTGTTGTACAGTGCCCCCTCTGCACTATTCTCTAGCTCACATGTTCTGGAAAGGGTTGTAACATGAGATGCCACTGCTATACGTGAGAGTCAACACACTCTGTTTGCCGTTTGTTTTGGAGTGTGGTCTGTAATTGGTGTAGGCTTGTGTCAGTTGTGATACAACATTGTGTAATAATATCCTAAGTAATATGTCACAATACATAGATATCTATTAGACCTATAGTTTATATCCCATCTCTCCCACATGGATAACATGCTTTGGAGCAGTGATGTTGCTGCATGACCCAATGATATATGGACTATCTAACTAATGTGTGCTGCGCACGGACAGGTTGCGGCTCATTACCTCTTTATTCTTGTCGACAAGGAAGTCATAGGAGCACAGTTTGAAAACCACCAAACTTCGAAGCAGTTCTAACGAGTCTTTGCTCTTGTAAGCCTCCTGGGTCTGTCCAAAGTCTACGGAGATCTCATTAGCGCGACTGGATGAAGAGCTGGAGACAGGCGGCTGCGGACCAACCTGGCCAGCTCCAGACGCGGAGCTGGGACCAGGACCAGAGCGGTCCTCATGTCCGGAGTCCGACACCACGGAGCTGGTGCTGGAGCGGCCTCTGTGCAGACACAGCCAGTGTTTGCCCCCTGTCCGAGTCAGGGATGGCACTGTCCGGACATGAAACATGTGTTTGAAGAGCTCCCTTCCAAGTGAAACGAAAAATCAGTTGCAACTAACAGCTAGTTGTGTGGGTTTGGCTCAGTTTGGCTCAGATTGGCTCCTGCGACACAACAAACGCCTGTGGCTCAGGTGCGCACAGCCCGCCCTTCTACTTCCCTCTGTTATAAAGACTCCTGCACAACTGCTGATCACGCTTTGATGTTGTTAAAGGATATCATACAGTTATTTCAACAACACACAGCCCCGGAGCTGCTTGGTTTCAGCTTCCTTCATGTATCGTTTTCCTTATGTTATTGCATTGGCAATTACTATGGCAACAGTCATTTTTCATCATTCTGATTTGAAGGTTTTTGGATATATTTCTCCAGCATCTGCCTATATCAACGGACCACTCCTACTGTGGTGGCACCTATTCTGTGTGTTAGTTTCTATAAGTTGCATAATGCAGCCTGGCCTCTTCAGCAGATCAGGAGGAAGCCTCAGGAGCAATGGGCTTTGTGTATTCCACGCACTAACAGACGGGGGCGCCATTGTCACGTGTTTGTGTATCTGCCCTCACCCTTCACCCCTCCCCTTCGCCGCCGCAGTAGAAGCACACACCCACATCAATGACAGATATCAAGATTCTGGTTTTAGGGTGAATATGGGTCAAGTGGGAAGCCACATACAGCTTCCAGAGGGGTTTGGGGGTAGGTTCCTTTTATAGAGACCTAAACAGGGTTAATGAACTAAGTCTACTTTTTTATGTATTTCATGTTAGTATATATTTTATTAAAGAATAAGCAAACTAATTAGTCAAGTAGTCTACAAAATAGCTTTAACCATGAGCATACACTGGCTAGTATTAGTTATAGAGTTATAATATTTTAAGTTGTATTAACACATTAAAACTAACATCCCATAAGCTAATTGTAATAGCCTAGAGTGACGATTCCCATTTATGATCTTGCATTCCCGTGAACGAGATTAAAGTTGGTCATATCTTACACACAAATTAGTTAGATGTCTCAAATATTTTTTTCAAGCATATTTTTGTGTTTGGTTTTTAAGTTCCCTAAAGCCCATTAAGTGGACCCTGTTGCGCATGGGCCGGTGGAAATTGGTGGCGCACGCACGGTGAACGGAGCCAAAGATAGAGTAACAAATCAGGAATTTCCCTCCTGCCACTCTGGAGAGCGCACGGGAAGACAAAAGTTATGGAGTAGCCCACCGCGTCCGCCTATTTGCACAAACGTGACCTGATGATAATCTGCTGAAGTTTGGACACTTTTTTTCCGCGTAAAAAACCTCTCTTTTGGAAACTATTGTCCTTTGCTCCGTTAGAACTGGATCACCTCTTTTGCTGTTCTTGAGATTGAGCGACGTATTTTCTTTAACTTTTACAGCTCCTCTTGTTGGAAGAGTTTTTGGATCCGTGATTTTTTGCTTTTCTTTGCGTTTCAAGGATTATTTTAGGATCGGTTGTGCCTTCTGGGTTTGCTTCATCTTTGGAGAAGAAGGGAACATAAGGAGTACACGGGGCGCCAGAAAGATGCTGCTTCTTGTACAATGGATGTGAAGAACTTTTTAGCAGTAGTGTTCGTGGTCTGCCTATACGTTTGCTCTTCATTCAGCCAAGAACTCAACCCTAAAGGCAAGAATGTTTGCAGAACGCACGGGTAAGTTGGCTGTTACAACTCAAGAGAACAATAAAGCACAATGTTTTGTTTCACTCACGCTACTACAGGCCTGCTCCTGTCTACTAATCAGTTTTGCATTTATTATTTTCATCATTGAAGGCTGGAGTACCACAACAATACCAGACTATTCTAGACAAGTGGTTCTGTCGAATTTCAAGGCCCCTATATCCGTAATTATAACCACGTAGTGAAGCTGAAATGCTGTATATTCCTGGTGCATTGTCCATGATCCACCCTTTGGATTTAGACATGAATAACAAACGTAACTTCACTATAGATAACTGTGTTATAGTACCATTGTGTAAGCAGCAGCTGTGTGCATCTGGATAGTAAAACTGTTATTTGCATTGGTCTATAGAGGGCGCACAGGAGACATTTGTATAATTGGTTGGTACGTAGTGGGATAGTTACATATGTACTGTATACTGTGCGGGAGAAGTCAAAACGCATAAAATACACATCTAAACTGTACGAAGTAGCCAGCATAATATGTTCTGTAAGAGTATATGCATTATACATAATTCTTCAGTTGTGAAGTGTCCTGTCTAGAGGCCTACGCCATAACTCTTAGAACTATAGGTAACTTTAATGTACCTGTGAGAAGTAACATTGACACTAGGAGAGGAGTCGGACTTGTACATGTTTGTAGAGATGCAAGCTCAGTCAGTTAGGACGCTTATACTGTTGTGAGTGCCACATAAACTTCAGGAACAAAAAATAAAATCTTAAAAAATACATTGGTTTTCTTCTAATGGTATTCATTTAAATGTATGTACATGTAAACCCATATAATCCCATTCCATTCTGCAGAACACTTCACCAAGAGATACTGTTTCCCACTTTTCCCATGTGAATCAATTACAATTAAGAAATTGAAGTAAATTATTATTATTTTTTTGATTTGTTTATTTTTTTCATGGTAATACAACAACATATCACAGTAATCTAGCAAATACAACAGCAATACATTCCTTGAAAGGAAGAACAGGAAAAAAATAATCTTATAAACTCCTACCCCTTTATTTTTATTCAATGGCTTAATATTCTTTCAAAGCATCGTCTTGCCTTGATACCAAGTGCAATTGCATCATGAGTCTCCAGCCGCACGTGCCTTTTTGGTCAGGATGTAAAACACTGTTGATGTGCTCTGGCGGACTCGAAGCACAGCACCATCTTCAAACACTTGGGGGAAGCTGACGTGTTGCAGAGGCCCCACAGAGGTCACAGGCATGGGAGGAAGAAGAGAAACATCCGTCTCCCTCTGACACAGCCAAAATGGAGAAGCAGTCAGAGAATCCTCCTCCAAGACAGGCCGCCGCCAGTGGGGTTGAGGGATTGTAGACTAATCAGTTGGAAGCATACTGTTGTGAACATATATAATGTATAATACTGTGTTTAAGATATATTTAATCAATGCCTCTGTTCTTGCAGTGTGTATGTATAGTGTTGCTGAATGTGGACGTGTGTGCAGGTCAGCAGGAGTGGCGTGCTGCAGTGGATGGGGGCAGCTAGGGGATGAATGTCTGACACGTATGTACCCTGCATCCTTCATTTACCATCAAACATTGAAGACAGGTCTTGATAATGTGTGGGTTTTGTGTCTTTAGCCCTATGTGAGGGGAACTTTACATGTAAGGATAATGAGGTCTGCGTTAGGCCAAATGAGTGCCGCTGCCGTCATGGGTATTTTGGAGCCAGCTGTGACACTAGTAAGTCTTTATTTACATTAGCAGAGACATACAACTATTTTACGTTGTGCTTCCTCAAACAGAGTGCCCTGCTCAGTTCTGGGGTCCAGACTGTAAGGGTAAGTGCCACTGTTACCCCAACGGACAATGTGATGATCTGACCGGAGAGTGCACCTGCAACCACAACCGCTGGGGTCCCAACTGCGAGCATGCCTGCCTCTGTCAAAAGGGCAAGTGTGACCAGGACACTGGGAAATGCACATGTCACCCCGGAGCCTGGGGCCCCCAGTGCAACAACAACTGCTACTGCAGCATCAACTCTGTGTGTGACTCCATGACGGGACGCTGCCAGTGCAACCCTGGCTGGATGGGGCGCAACTGTGCCGTGCAGTGCAACTGTAACAACTCCCCATGTGAGCAGTTCACAGGCCGCTGCCAGTGCAGGGAGAGGCTGTGGGGGCCCAGGTGTGAGCGCTACTGTCAGTGCATTCATGGAAAGTGCAACCCAGCTGATGGATCTTGTACCTGTACACCAGGATACAGGGGCAAGTTCTGCAGAGAGCCCTGTCCAGCCGGCTTCTATGGTCAGAACTGTAGAAACAGGTGAAGAAGAAGCTGTGCAGAATCTGCCTTTTTGCTTGTAACATGAGTCATTAATCTATTCCTGTGTGCCTCAGGTGTGGACATTGCAAAGGGCAGCAGCCGTGTAAAGTGACCGAGGGCCGCTGCGTCACGTGTGACAGAGGCTGGAATGGGACACGCTGTGATCAGCTATGCTCCAAAGGATTCTTTGGTGAAAACTGCCAAGAGGTGTGTCCCACGTGTAAGGACGGCCATCACTGTGACCCCATACAGGGCAAGTGCTCCCATTGTAACGCGGGATGGATCGGTGACAGGTGAGAAACATGAAACACTCAGAAAAACAGCAGTCATTATGTGTGTCCTGTCATTTGCCCACATCAGCTGAAGCTACTATAGTATTCACTGTCATGAATCATCCCCTGAACTGACGATGACAGTAATCACAGCATTTAACTTGTCTGGGACTTGTCTCTGGCAGGTGTGAGGTGCGCTGCCCCAATGGTACTTATGGTGAGAACTGCGAGAACAACTGCAGCCACTGCTACAATGGCATGTGTCATTTTGTCACCGGAGAATGTTTATGTGACGCAGGCTTTTATGGAACATAGTAAGTCAAGATTATATACATTCAATTGCACAACAATGTCACGCATCATACGCTCTGAGTATAGAGGCATGTGCCAAAAGCATTAATAACACAGCAAGAAAACATTGAAAACTATTATAATCCTTGAAAATATTGCTTTCCACAACATGTCTTTTATATCATGATACTATTTGTTGCATGACAAATAATCTTGTTGTTTTATTTCCTATTTTGATCAGTTGTAACATGACGTGTAAACCCGGGCAGTTTGGTGTGAACTGTAACCAAACGTGCTCTTGCAACACCAAGAACTGTGATGCTGTGTCCGGCGCCTGCTATCTTCGTAAGTAAAAGTTATTTTACAAGTCTAGCAGTAATGTGAGAAACTAGTGTCGGGCTAAATAAGTCATTTTAACTCTCATAAACATGCTTGAAACTGGCTAAAAGACAGATGCCACCACTACAGACAAACACATATTTTTCAGTGCAGCGTGAGCAGAAGACTTAACGCGGCCTTAATGGCATTTCCAGATGTATACCGGTAACCAATGTCTTTTTTATGGCTGTGTTTGTTGGCCGTCTTCCTGTTCAGCCAGAGTCAGAGGAAGGAAGAAGAAAATAGAGCAGAATGGGAGAAAAGCATGAAGAGAGAAACTACTGATGAAAATAGAGTAGAAATAGAAAAGCACTCGTAGAGCACAGACCTCTCCATTACTTCTGGATCCGGACAGCGATTTGGATTACCTCTAAAATAAAAATACAACGTGTTTTTTCCATTTCCGAGGTTTAGTTCTGAAAATGTCGTATATATCTGCCCATAACTTTGACAGATAAAAAAACCCTGGTGATTACTTAACCTCCTGGCGAAGGAAATTATGCAATATCCAGCCTGTATAGGACTTAATATTTGGAGTGCAGATGTTATTATTTAGAAGAATATTATTTAGATTGTTCTTAGACAATTTTGTTGATTTGACTGGTATTACTAATATCACAATAACTATTAGCCCCATCTGTTTTAGCCACAAAAGAACACCTCATGTAATAGGTACATATTGCTGTTTGAAATTCTTACAGTGGTTCAACTTACAAAATAATATCCAAATCAATCTTCTTTCGTTATGAGGCTAATTTTGCATTGTGGGAGTCATCAGTATGGTGTTTGAGGCTGTCAATGGATTGACATGGGTTTGGAGTGAATTTTTATATGATTTATCTGTAAGCAATAACACCTATGGTGACACCTATGATCATAAGCTTTTGATACAAGCGTTGAGAGGATTGAGGTGGATCGAGCATCTGTTCGCATTGGCTCTTGGATTCCTTCCCTTGGGAGGTGTTCCGGGCAGGAAGATACATTAAACGTTGGAGGGACCATGTTCCTCATCTGGCCTGGGAATGCCTCAGGATTCCCCCACTGGGGGCAGGGTGTGGATAGGGAAGTCTGGACATCTCTGCTCAGACTGCTTTCCCTGAGACAGCAGAGGAAGGAAAAAATGGATGGATAACAAAGATTTTTACAACCAAATCACGCTGTCACTATACCCTATTCTAAACTTGTGTCAAAAAGTTTCAAATGTTTTTAACTTTAAAGTTTGTTGTGACAGTTCAGCCCGGTTCTCTTCAGGACTTTTCCACATTCATTATGAGCACTATCTACTGTTTCAGAGCCAAATCAGCGCATGGGCGTGATCGCTGCCGGGACCCTGGTGGGCTTCTTACTCATTGTCCTCCTCTCCGCTCTCTTCTGCTGCTGCCTCTGTCGACATAAGGAAGACCACAAGTGAGTGATGGCTAAATGGTATTCTTATGTTACTGCTGTGGGAGAGGTCACAACAGGAGGCTACACAAATAATGGGAAAATAACACTCTCTGTTTCTCAACGGGATGTGAAGCGCATAATTGTATAGAATTGAATTTTAAGTATCTTCATATTTTGACATGACAGTAGCAAACAGTCTCTGAGCCCTCAATAGAGGCTTGGGTCCAGGTTTAATCCTCCTGTTGAATGATTCATTTGAGTTTCCGTGAAGTCATGCTTTTTTTCACTAACCAACACTACTCTACCAACAGCAAAAAAGCCAAGCGGATCCTGTGCGGACGATTCAGCCGCATCAGCACAAAACTCCCCCGTATTCCACTGAGACGACAGAAACTGCCCAAAGTTGTCGGTAAGTCTCCAAAAGTCTGTCTCACAGCCCACCGCACACTGCTAGAGGGGCTTGTGTTTTAAGTAATCATGTAATCATCTTTACTGCCAGTGTAATAACCAGTCTGGCTTTTGGGGAGTACCTGGTCTCGACACGCGTCACTTCAATGTTGTGTCTATAGCAACAGAGTTAGAAAGTACTCTGAAAGTATTCTTCTAATTTAATCTAATTTATTTGTGTGCTTTATTATTACCATCTTCCTTGTTTTCTCTGTCATTCTCCTGTTTTGCAACATTTTCTTGAATTTCTCTCCCTTTAAATGAAAAAGAAACATTATTTATGTATTAAGGAAAAAAAAAAAGAGACAATTGTTACTGTACGTCCGGCTCAGCTAGGGAGTAATGAACGCAACAAAAACCAGATGGAAATGGTATGAGTCCATTATAAGTAAATTTAATAATGATAAATAAAATGAATTGTGGAACAAAAGAGGAACAAGGAAATAATGTCACTATACAACAAAACTAGAGCTAAAAATACTGAAGTGACAACACAACACAACAACACAGGAGGAGTGGTGAAGGCAGACGGCACGGAACAGGTCCAGCTGCCCCGAGCTGGCGGAGAATGGGAGGTTATATTTGGGACGCCCTCATTGATGGATCCCTGGGGTCGGAGGACGTCCTCTCACTTCTCTCGCTGCAGCCACTCAGGTGACAGACAGGCCACGCCCACTCCCGAAGCTCCTCCAATAGATCACCTGTACAGAGCGAAGCTGCGCACACAAACACAACAAAGGGCAACGGGAGCGCCATCTATTGCACAACTGGCACAATAGGTCGTTATGAAAGAGTGAAGCTACAATGTGTCAAGTTGTAGGCATAGCTAAACATAACTAAAAGGAAAAAAGAAATATTCAAACCTTGAGAACCTAACTTTCAAGCCACAGAAAATGTAACTACAGTATGTATTAAAGTCCATCTAACTATTCCATTGCTCTCAAAACACGTGCATGTATTGTAGGCCTCTGACATAACTTTAAATCTCAGCTTTCTCAGGACCTCTTTTCCTGCTCAAAATTGCTCTTTGAATTATCTGTGTATGTTTGAGATTTCTTTATATTCTTGAACTCACAAGACAAAATACATTGTAGAAGATTTGCTTAAAGACAGTTTAAGACAAAAACAAAAACAATTGTCCCTCTGTGATCTGCGGCTATGTCAGCACTTTGTTGTGATGCTGTCTTCAATGCAGAACTTAGCAATCCTTGAGTACATTTTATATAAAAAATATATACCATCAATGTAGATTGGATTGAATTTAAGTTTTTCTAAAATACAATTGCGCTGAATGTACAATGATAAAAAAAAAAAAAAAAGTTTCAGTCATTCTCACCATAAACATAGATTTCACCACTGTACCTTAGTGAATAAGGCTGAAAGCTGCCAGGCAAATATGAGGTTACATTTGAAAGGAATGTTTTGGTTTTACAGTCCGTTATTATTCTTGGCACCCCAAAATGCCATGTGTTCATATTATTCCAACCATCTTTTTTACCTCTCTCCACCATCTTCTGTTTGGGGGCAGTGGAGGGGACTGTTATTTAAAGAAAAGTGAGTGGCAGTCAGGGTTGGTGTGGAGTGACGCCTTATCAAAGGGTTCTCTGTTTGGGTGGACACAGCAGCCACACTGGACCATGTGGAGGTCTCGTGGTCTACGCTCTGATAAAAGGAGACGCAAGAAAAATATGCAGGGTGTATTTAAAAAACGTTTTGTCCAAGACTCCAAATACACTGAGTTGAGTCCCTGCAGGGAAAAGCTCTATACCAGACATGTCCAAACTATGGTCTGGGGGCCAAATTACGGCTTGGTCATTTTGGTCATAGCGCTCATATTGAGACTTGTGAGGTTCTGATACGGCATCTAACTTTTCGGCTCAAGGAGCGTCTGGAGGTGTCCGAGAACGCCTTCATTCAGACTCTATCTGCTCTGAGAAAGCAGTGGACAGATACACTCGTCCATAGATCTGCCTGAACTGACTGTTTACTTTGCAATGCATTGTCCTCTTTTTGTATTCCTATTTCTTTGTTTTTTATGGACCAACTTTACCTTGAGTCTGAAATAAAGATTAAAGATGCAGTGATGATTTATCCAGATGCACTTTTTTAAAATAATGTTGGGAAACGTCCCTAAACCCCAAAAGTAGTCAAGTTATCATGTGTTTCCAAATAGGAATGGACATGGCCAGATTGTTGTTGCCTCATGACTTTCATTGTGTTTTTCTAAAACACAATGGCTGAACCGGAAACCCTCAAAGTGCCATTTTCACATTTGCCACCCACTCGCCTTGTTGTGGCAAAGAAGAGAAAATCTGATGAAGAAAAGTCTCTGAATGCAGCCGTTGCTATGTCATGCAACGACTGTCGTGTTTTGCTAATTGCTAGTTTGTTAGGGGAAGCTACTGTAGCTCTTGTCAAGTACGGCAGGCTAATCGCTCACGGACTTGAGCCCTAATTTATTGTGATGCTTTCACCTATCCAGCTGAGAGGCTTTGCCACAGACTGCATTATAACAGAAATGTCCAAATGTTCATGTGTGCTGGGAGTTGGGTTTTCTGGAAGGCAGGGGAGTGGGAGTGGTTTTGAGTTGGTGCTACTTGGATGCTACCGCTAAAAGCTAACCTGAATCCTTTAATGCGCCTATAATAATTGTCTGGCACTAACTCATGAATAGCCATTGGAATAATAAACTTACATTTTGTGTCATTCAGCTAACGCCCTCTCGGCCATAACAGACACGCTATACCTCTTTATACATTTACTTAAATTATGCTTGTGTAAAAAACATCTTTCCCACTTCACAAACCCAGAAGGTCCTGGCTGCGAACTGAATCCCGGTAGGAACAGGGCCTTTCTGAGTGGACTTTGTGTAGGTTTCCTCCGGGTGCTCCGTTTTCCCCTACCACTAAAAACATGTACTATAGGTCTGGCATGCGCCTCCGGTACAGTGACCTCGCTCTCTGAGGAGTGAGAGAACAATGTCCACATCAATTATAAAGCGCGTCGTGACTCCGGTCTGTGAAAGGCGCTATATAAATACAGATGTCTTACTTACATACTTCCCTGTTGGCTTACCGTCCAATTATAGTCCAGATATGTACACGTCTCCCATAGAGTGTCTCTTGGGAAATTTTCATCATTTGAGTATGTTTCTTTTAAAATAGAACAAAAGAAATCTTCTTCCATTCTTATTATTGTTGTGTACAAGCCGCCACAGTCATGCCATAGTTTCACTGATCATTTCACTGAGTTGCTTTCAGTTGTGTGCACAGATTTTGATGGTTTGGTCATTGTAGGTGATTTCAATATACATGTAGATAATGCTAATGATAGATATGCAATAGAGCTGAGCTCTGTGCTGGAAACCTTTGGTCTCACTCAGCATGTGAGTGGCCCCACCCACAGCAGAGGACACACTCTCGATCTGTTAATTACCAAGGGGGTTAATATTTCAAATGTAAATGTGGTCAATGTTGCTCTGTCTGATCATTTCTGTGTATTTTTTGACACGTGTCTTGATTGTAAACCACCAGCTGAATCTTCGGTTGTTAGAAGAAGACACATAAATGATAATACAGGCGAACTGTTCATGGGGAGGGTAAACTTTGAGAACACGTTGTGTGTTACTGTAGATGAATTACTTGATTCTGTCACCACCACTGTTTTGAATGTTCTGGATACAATTGCTCCTGTAAAGGTTAAAATAGTTACAAACAAGCAAAAAGCGCCATGGACTAAAGCAGACTCGGTCAGGGCACAGAAGAGAGAGTGCCGGAAGGCCGAGCGGAAGTGGCGAAAGTCAAATCTCAAAGTTGACCATGAGATCTTCAAAGATGCGTTGTGCAATTTTAACAGGGAACTACGTAGAACGAGGGAAATGTACTTTTCTGAAACTATTGAAGGCTGTAGCAACAATCTACGTGTTCTGTTTTCAACAGTAAATAGATTGACGAATCCCCCTGTTAAGATGCCATCAGAACTTACTTCCAAATCTAAATGTAATGAGTTTGCTCAGTTCTTTAATGACAAAGTCCAAGGTATCAAAAACGCCATCACCTCCACGATAGAAATAATAATCCAACCGCCAGTGAGGCTTTTTGGGCTAACGCACTTTACACCAGTACAAATTGAAACTGTCCAGGAGATAATCACTAGTCTGAGTTCCTCCACATGCAGCCTGGATGTATTACCTCCTAGATTTCTCAAGTCAGTTCTGAGCAGTCTTTTACCTTCACTTACACAAATAGTTAATATGTCTCTTGAATCTGGAACATTCCCAATGGCCTTGAAAACGGCGGTCATCAGGCCCCTCCTAAAAAAGAGGAGTCTGGAAGCCCTGGCACTCAAAAATTATCGGCCCATTTCAAATCTGCCTTTCATGGGAAAAATTCTAGAAAAAGTTGCCTATAAACAACTTACAGAATTTTTAATAATCAATAACGCTTATGATATGTTCCAGTCAGGGTTTAGACCCCACCACAGCACTGAGACCGCGCTAATAAAGGTAACAAATGACATCAAACTAAACACTGACGCAGGAAAAGTCTCAGTCCTTTTTCTGTTAGATTTAAGTGCTGCTTTTGACACTATTGATCATGGCATCCTCATTCAGAGACTTGAGGACTGGGTTGGTGTTGCTGGCACCGCCCTAAGCTGGTTTAGGTCCTATTTACAAGACAGAAAGTTTTTTGTGGAGATCGAAAACTGTACCTCAGACCACTTGGCCCTGACCTGCGGAGTGCCACAGGGGTCAATCCTGGGTCCTCTTCTGTTTAATATTTACATGTTGCCTCTAGGTCAGTTGATTCACAGTAATAATGTCTCTTATCACAATTACGCTGACGATACTCAGGTCTATGTGTCCCTGACAGCAGGAGAGCATGAACCAGTGGACTCGCTCCTTCACTGTGTCCAGCAAATCGGTGATTGGATGCAAAATAACTTTCTCCAACTAAACACCGA